CTACGGTCAGATGTTTATATGGTTGGGAACACCATGCTTAGCGAACACATGGTTAATGAATAACTGGGCAAGCTCCTCGGAGTTGATGGTGTCATGGGTAGGGATGAAAATTGCTTGCCTACTTGCGCGGTCGACGACTACGAGGATGGCAGTGAATCTGTTGGAATCTGGTAGTTGTTCAATGAAATCCATAGAAATAGAATCCCACGGGCATTCTGGAACCGGCAAAGGTTTGAGTAAGCCAAAAGGGTGGTGTCTAAGTGTTTTGTTATGTCCACAGGTAGTGCAGGATTTAACGTAGTGGCAAACGTATTCACACATCTGTGGCCAGGTGTAATTCCGTTGGACAAGTTTGAGAGTCCGATTTTGACCAAAGTGACCTGCCAAGATGTGGTCATGATTGTTTTGGAGAACGCGAAGACGGAGATCATTGGAGTCTGGGACCATAAATGCAACTGTCAAGACATAGTAGCCCTGATTCATCCACGGACCACTGAGAGGAGTTGGAAGGGGAAGATGCGAGTCAGAGGCCTTCGGTGGCAGCAGAATCCAATGGCTGTGCATTCTTGATATCAGAGTGGAGCTTGTTGATGTCCATGATAGCACTAGCATGTAAGACAGGACCTTCAAGGAATGTAGCATGGAGTGAAGTGGAGAGTTGTTCTTGAGTGAAAACAGGTCGAAAATTGTGAGGATTGACTTGGGCGTATTGACTATCTCCCTCTTTAGGGTAGACGTCCCATCGTCTAGTGAGGGCATCTGCTTTTCCACCAAGTTTACCCGGTTGAAACCAAATAATGAGGTTGAATTGGGAGAGGAATTCGGACCAGCGCACTTGACGTCGAGTAAGGACCTTGGTAGTGGAGAAATACTCAAGGTTCTTGTGATCTGTAACGATGTCAATGGCTTCTGCAGAGCCTTCAAGGTAGTGATGCCAATATTTGAAAGCTTCGAAGATGGCTAGAAGCTCTTTATCATGCATATTGTAGTTGAGTTCAGCACCGTGGAGACTCCGGGACAAGAAGGAGATGGGATGGATCTCACCATCCTCTAGATAAATGGATAGGATGGCAGCAATAGCATAGTCAGATGCATCGGTTTCCACAACCAGTTGACGGTCGGAAAGCCAGTGGGTAAGGATAGGAGCATGAGTAAAAGCCTGCTTCAACTCATTGAAAGCGGATAAGCATTCTTCATCGAATTTCCATGGAGTTCCTTTGTGAGTGAGTCATGTTAAGGGCAGGACAATCTCACTGTACTCATGAATAAAATGGCGGTAGAAATTAGCAAAGCTGAGGAAGAATCTCGGGGAGTTTTTCAGAAAGGGAATCACTGAATACATCAGCAAATTCATGGTACTCTGGTGGGACATCAGATAAGTCAGTGGGAGCCACAGAGGTAGACTTGCCACTAACACTAGGCATAGAAGATTGTAATGTGAACTGCTGGGCCCCTTCTTCTGTGCAAGCTCAGGCAAAAGCAGCAGCCAAAATAATAGATATCTTGGGGGCGGCCAAAGCACCAAAGGAAGGAATGGTAGGGTAGGAATAGATGGGTTCATAAGGTGGCGGAGCCCATCGGGATCTTGATTTTGGGATGGGAGGTGAGGATTGGGATGGTTGGATTGGACTGGCACATGTGTGTCGGCAGCCATGGAAGCGCTTGAAGAAGAAACAACCTATAATGGTGAACGGAAAGTGATACTGTGCTTTACCCAGTCAATCGATGGATTGTAGTGGGAGAGCCAGTTGTATCCCAGAACGACGTTACAAGATGAATCTAGATGAGTGACATAGAAGTCAATAGGAAGAATGTCTCCTGAAGGAAAACGGATTGGGAAGGAAATAGATTGGGAGATGTGAGATCCGACAGAGCCGTCAAGAAGCCGAAGTTGGACAGGGGGGATAGATTTGGTAGGGAGATTGTGATCCTCAACATACTTCGAGTCAACAAAGCAGTGGCTAGAGCCAGAATCAATGAGTGCAAGAAAATGAAGGATAGTAGAAATGGGTGAACCATTGGGCTCTGGTCTGGAGCTGATTTCAGATGAGAGAGAGACAGTTAGGGAATGATTGGAAAGAGTGGCAGCATTGAGGGTTATGATCTCCAGTGCACTGTGACAGTCAACGCAACCCTGTCCTAGTGCAGAGGATACAGGGTTGCTCTCTAGTTTTCCGATTCCGAGGGAACTGGTTCAATAGAGGCAGAGGGTTCAGGAGTAGAAGACACGGCAGCAGCATGACCCCGAGCAGAGGCTGCAGCCTTGCACTTGTTACAGTCCTCAGTTTTGTGCTTACCTCCACAGAACATGCAGAGATTGTTCTTCCGACGGCGGTCCTTTTCTTCTTGAGTAAGATGGCCATCTTTGCCTAGCTTGTCAGCATAGGGCTTAGGGTTGGAAGAGGAAGAAGAGTTGTTGGGGGAAGATGAAGATGATCCCGTGGAGCCCAAATGGGAGGACTTTTGGCTCATGGAGTTGGAGTTGGGAGACAAAGAGTTAGAACCCTTCGCCTTGTTGCCATTGCTGGAAGAGGAAGATGGGTTACTGCGATTTTCTTGGGAGATTTCGGCTTTCCGAGTCCAGTAGCAAGTGTCGAGCTCTTGAGCGAGATTCTGCATGTCATGGAGATTATCGGGTTTCCTGTGGTGAGCCATATCATCCTTGATGTGGGAGCAAAGACCACAATAGAAGGTGTGATGAAGGGAGTTGTCACCATAGCCAATAATGGCAGCATACTGATTGAATTTGACAATATACTTCATGATGCGGTCTCCATCATGCATCCGAAGGTTTTCGAGTTCATCTTCAGCATCTCTGATGGCATCGAAGGGGCCAAAGTTGGTTCGGAGTTCTGAAAGGAAGGCGGTATAGGAGTATGCCCAGGCAGGAGGGTTGGGGTGATTAGGGTGGAGGATATCTGGTTCGAACCAGTCAAGTGCGACACTGGAAAGGAAGGAGATGGTGTAGTTGACTTTGGCTGTGTCCGATCGGAACACGTCAGGACGGTCATTGAAGTTTAGCTGGAGAGAGACAATGAAGGCTTTGAGTTTTCGGGAGTCCGAACCGTCGAAGGTATCTGGTTCCTTGACCTTGGTGCGTACAGCACGTTGTCGATTGCCATTGACAGCATTGGAGATGCCGCAGAGGACATTCATGAGCTGAATGAGAATCTGGGCATCGTTATTGGGAGGATTAGGATTGTTACCAGGATTGTTGTTGGGTCCTCCTCCAGACCCGCCGGGACCACCAGGACCACCAGGATTGGGTGGGCCACTGCCAGGGTTTCCCAATGAGTGTCCGTGGCCATTCATTGGCATATGAGGGGGAAATTCCCCGTCTTCTGAACCTTGGTCATTGTTGTCATCATGACCTTGGATATCATTGAACAGAGATGTAGTTGGATTCTGCGGGGGGTCACTTCCATACTCGCCCCAGCCATTGGATTCTGATCGCTGGGCTAGGAAGGGGTTAGGCGATCGGTTAGCATTGAATTGGCGAGCAGTGAAGCCACTGTGAAGGTAGGTTTCCCTACGGGATTGTTGGTGAGGGGCGGAATCTGATCCGAAGAGAAGGGGACCCTCTTTTGAAGCAGAGGCAGGGATATCATCCATGGTATAGTTCGGTTGTTGACCGTGGAGTTGCGGCTGGGTTCTGGAGGAACAGTGAAGGTAGAAGACATGGTTAGGAAGAAAATTTCGACTCAAGGGTTTGAGTTTGAATATACTGTTAGGATCGTGCCAATAGGATTGTGGCAGTAGGTGCACGTAGTGGAATGCTGTGGGATGCGTCAGGCATAGGCGAAGCTATTAGCAATGTCACCCCTGAGCTGAAGCCCTAAGATGGATATGGATGGAAGTCCATGGAGTGGCAGAGGCAAGGTGAGAGATAAGTCCAACGGATTGGAGTTCTGCAGACTGGAGAACGAGAGTGTGACTTAGAGTCAGAGAGAGAGATTGGGCTGAACCAAGTTGATATTTGAACTGAGTATCTACAGTGTAATTCTAAGGCTTATATACTAGCTAGGAGTCCAATCTAGTTCCTACTCAGAGTGGTCTACATTCTAGGGTTGTTGGAGGATGTATTCTACCAGTCGGTAGCTGATGGGGTCCGATGACATGTTCGCTACCAATGTCAGGCTATTGATAAATTAATATGGAGAAGTGAAATATAAAATGGAATATGAAATAGAATATGAAATAGAAACTGGAAATTGGAATGTGTAGGTTTCTGGGCTGTGGCTTGTTAGGTTGAGTGGAAGTCGGGTTTCCGTCAGCATGCTTGTTACACATACGAACAACCTGTCCAACTGGAAGATGAAGGTGAGCCCATTTTCAAACAGGATAGTTAAACCTTTCTAGATATGGAGAGTCTGTATATTTGCTTCGATAGTGTATGATAGCTTCATGTTCAGGATCAGAAACAGAGCGATCAATATTGTCAAGCTTTTTCAACAAGACATATCCTCTGGACAAATCCAGAGAGCCCTGAGGAAGTGTTGGATCATGAGCATCATCAAGCACTGGGATAAGGGCCTTCAGCGCATTGATCTGACCACTTATCACACCATGCTGAGAGAGATTGGCATAGGGGCACGAAGGCTGGTGGATTTCCTTGCCATACTCTCTAATACACCGTTCCATAGGCTATTGAGTCATACAACAAAGTGGACCTAGATGCACAGTTTCTGCTGCAAGATGAGACAGAAGGTGGAATACTTTGCTGAACGAAATGAATGTGTGATGTTTTTTGCTGGTAGTAGAGATTTTTGAAATCAAAGATGAATTGAAGGAGTTGCTCATGTGCAAGAATAAGCTGTGAGTGACATATACAGCACTGGTGAAGAATTCAGATTGGAGAAATGAGAAGACAAAGGTGTTTGTAATACTTCTCTGGAAGGATGCCATGGAAAACTCCAGGACCATATCCATAGAAGTACATTAGAAACTCCCAAGCCTTGTATCCACTGTTAATCTTCTCTGCAGGATTGTGGGGTGGACGATCAAAGGAACCAGGAAGGTAGGGAAGGATATCGCCAACAGTCTTCCCATGTGCTTTCCAAACAGAATCCTTTTTGAACACTATCCAATCCCATAGATCCTTTGAATCTGACTTGTCGCAGTCCATGGTACCATGAAATAGCCCAAAAAACAGGTCTGTAAGGTTGAGTGCACCAAGATGCATGAGGTCTGCAGTAAAGCAGCTGAGTATACCGAGAATATGAGTTATCACACTGAATATGCTGGGCTTACTGATGCCAGTATTCTGCCAAAATCGCCTATACTGGGCATCATTCATAGCCTTCATAACTGCATGTAAGTCGCTGTTGTACTTTGTCTACGAAAAGGCTGGAAGATCGTTGACTAAAATACTCAGATGATTGCAAGGCTCAGAATGTTTACAGGCATTGGGAGGAAAATCAGAGGGTGCAGAAATAGCTGGATAATAGTGAGAACCATTAGGCTTATGTCAGCCTTGCAGGCCACAAAGAAGGCAACAGCCATAAGTCGCATTATGACTATTCCATCCATTCAAATAGGCCATAGCTGGACCATCCGCCATGCCAAGTAAAAGAAATGGTCTGGATGTAAGGACCATGTTATCAATGGCATCCCACATACACAAACCCTTCTTCTGAATAGCAGAGAGGTGGTGAAGACCAACAAAAAGGAAAGAGTCGATATTCTTGGGTTTGTTCGGTCCAGGTATGAAACCACCAGGAAGGATGTGAATCTTCTTGTAATGAAGATTAGGATTAAGATCAAGAATGATCCAGATATAGATCCAGCAGTCAGAAAGCTTTATGGTGTATAGTTGTGTGCCATCAATTGAGAACAGCAGGCAAATGTCATTAGGGCTGATAATTCCATCTGCGACAGCCTTCAGATACTCAGCACCATGGAAGACATCATCGTAATCTTCAATGACTCCACCTCCTTTCCTCAACGTCTCGAGGATCTCATTTGTACGTTCTCTGTGATAGCGTATCTGCTTTGCTATTTCAGGATGACTGCGAAGAATCTGAAGCTGGGGTCCGATAGGAATGGTATGAAATGTTTGTTGAGCAATCTTGATCTGGCCATTGCTGCTGGCAAGCTTCTTAGGATCATAACATGGTGATTGGCAATATGGGCACGTCTCGTATTCAGAAAAGGGTCCTGTGTAGGCAATACATGATTTTAGACACATATCATGAACAATGGAGTGTACACCAGTAAAGGAAGCGAGGCGCTTCTTCACCTGTGCATAAGACAGGACATCAGCCTCAGGGAAGCGTCGCTTGATAGCACTGCAAGATCTGGTATACGAGTCTTCAGATGCATTGGAATGAGAGAGAAAGAGCTCAAAGCCAAGTAGGAGATTACGGTCAGCCCATGCAACCTCCTCAGGTGGGTTCCTCAGATGCTCAATGACATCAGAAAAAAGTGTGCTGTTTTCTAGTGTCGCATCCTTGATTTGCTGGATGAACATCATTGAGGTACGGATATGAGAAAGCTTGACATCGCTGTCCTTGATACCAGTATATTCAGCGCTGTTGATAGAGTCGAAGAGGGAAGTAAATGGGACCGAGAATGCCTCGGATGAGTTGTCTGCATCGTCGTCGACATCACTGAGATGTATATCCTCCATGCATCCGATATCTGGACCATCGTGATCACTGCCATCGTTGCAAGAACTGTATAGATGCACCAGGGAATGATGATGTTCGTCCATGTCAATGTCACCATTGGACCTCGTAGCATGGTGAAGAGGCTCTGTGCATGCCAAGCTAGAAATACACTAGCATATATAACACTAACACAACTCACTCACACTCACACACACACAAACCCTCAGTAGTTTGGGGGTGATGTGCGATACAAGCACACAATAGCAGTAGTATTGAAAGAATCCTTGCACGTTATAATATAGCACACTTAGCAATATAATAATCTTCTAAGTCCAAATGCTTTTGGAACAGGAGGTGAGCGACAGAATCGCTCGGCCTCAAGGTAAAAGTATTATTTCACAAGCCCCCAAACATTCTACAAGAACATATAACCCTCAAAATACATTGCACGCAACATACAAGTGTCCACAACATTTCACAATACACTTAACACGACTTAAAGCCTTGCGCTCCAAGCAGAAAACACTTCAAAACCTGTTCGTAGATCCACAGGGTTCTAACCTATGCGATCCAGAGATACACAAACACAGAAAACACATCCACAAGCCACAGGGTTTGAACCTATGCCACTTGGGAATAAACCAAAAACCTCAGAGATTACTGACAAGCCAAAGGGTTCGAACCTCTGCCACTTGCAATAACTCGGAATTCACAAACAAGTTCCAAAAACACAAATGCACATTCAAGTTATCACAATACAATATTCTCTAAGTAGAGCACAATCAATTACTGTACTTTACTTGAACAAATCAAGCACACTCGAGCAAGGCATGCCTCGTGAGCTCTCAAGGTGTTCAAAATAATTCTAAGTTCAATAGTATTCTCTCGCTCGAAGCTTCAAATAAAATCCTTTGGTTGTACACTAAGTGCACTGCTTCATAGTACAACTGCAGGGGTCTGAAAACTTGCTAACTACCTGTAACTACCGCTCTTATATTTACTGTTAACTATATGAAATGTAAATACTGAAAATAGACAATGCTCCACCTCGGACTCCCTTCTCTTGCATGCCGCATCAGCCGTAGTGATAGTAATCATTATTTTACTCAGCACTCCGTGTCGGCACGTGTGCTGCTACTGTTTTCTCCACTTGACAAGGCCTAGCCTTGTCGTGCCATGTGGCATGTGTCTTCTTATTGGCTCCACAGATTTAATTACAGTGCCATGCAACTTATCTAGTGAGCGAGTTTTATTTTATTGGTTGCCATGCAACCATTTCTAGTTTAATATTTCATATGGGCAGCGGGTTTTATTTCTCTCTGACCGAGAACTCCTTAGAGTATTTGGACTTGTTGATTCTTCATTCAGGATGACGTTTCTTGGTGATTGCCAGATCGGCAGGGTCCACGCATCATAGATCAATGCAGCACAAAGCACCTTCAATATATTATCTTCAGTGAATTTAATTGATTGATACATTGCAGAGGAGGGCACAGTGTATGTGTATAAGCACTGAGACTGCACACTTGAATGACACCAGTGTGCCACTCTAAGTCTAAGCCATGCGCTCTACTCATATTATTTTTATTATAGTGCTTTCTGCCTCAGTGTGTAGCGCTCTATGCCTTACATGCACTCTAATATTATTCACAGGGCACACACACGTTTGCATTCCTAGAATTCACAAAATTACATGTGTGAATGCATTGCATGCATGTCAATGGCTTGGTCCAGCCTCAGTGGACCTGCTTGATGCAACGTTGTTATCCTATACTGTAGTCAGACCAACACGAAAATAATATGGAGGAAGATGTACTAGCATATTGTTGAGCGAAGGGCCAGATACAGTATCCTTTTCCTGTGTTCTCTGCTTCACTGTCTGCTTGACTTTTGTAACTCACCTCACACCCTTTGTGACTCTGCTACGACCCTGAGTTTGAGACTGAGCTGCATGATGGAGCTGTTCCTCCAGCATCAAGGGAATAGCAGTGTGAAAGGAGAAGTGATGTCCAAAGGTCTTAGCGGAAACATATTTGCCACCACCACAGTGATGAGTATAGTTGCAAAAATGTGTGCCTTGGTATTTTTCGGGCACCATAGAGAGAATTAGAAAAGCCAGGTTCAATTGTCAAGAAAATTGTAGTCAAAGTCAAAAGCAAGACGTGTCACACCAGCCAGACACCAATCGAAGTGAGTAAATCAGGTGGGTGTTCGATTCTGATTCAGGCATATTCAGACCAGATTGATACGTGGACAACTATTCAAGTACATTCTCTCTAATTCTACTACAATACAGGGACTTCTCACTGGGTCTGAGGGGGTGAGCAGCATAAAGTTCATTGTACCACAATGAATGTTTATGATCTCAAGGTATGGTGGGTGCTGTTTTATAAATAACAGGCTGAAGGTTTGGAAGTACAACAGTGACTGCCTTGAAGCGATACAGTTACCGTCAACAACAGTAAGGGTAGTAAGGGCAAGCTTTGGCTAAATGTTAAGCACTAACTCTAATCTGAACCAAAGTGTGACCTCTATCCTGATACTCATGTTCGGTGATTCAGTATTAGAGGGTCTTTGGCAGATTGCAAGAAGTTAGGGCATCATTTAGATAGCGAGAGCAAGGAGCTTGTAAGAGTTAGGAGTGTATAATCTTAGCTGAAGCTGGGGTTTAAGGCCACAGCATAGGCTAGCTTAAATACATGTCAGACTCATACTAAGAATAGTGTCTATGGAGGCGCATGCAGCAAGAAGGGCACTCTGCAGCAAATAAGGAGTGAGGACACTGAAAGAAGTGTGCTCCTGACAAATGAGAGTAAAGAGTGCATATCACCTGTCTTGACATGAGACTCCATCTGAATAGACCATATCCCATAGACCACCCTCAACTAGCAGTCGACTCTTGTCCAACCACTAAGAAGTGTGATGCCATCATGAGAAGCATGATGGTACATACATGTGGAACATCAGTCATCCAGAATGTGGTAGCTATGAACTGGGGTGATGGCAACCAGGTAAACGGGTAGGAGGTATGCTGGCAGAATATTATGGGTCTGAGAGATAAGATAGGTAGGTCCAGAGTTCTGAGAGATAAGGATAAGATAAGATAAGAGAAATAGGGGTAAAACTATAATAATTAACTGGTGTTGTAGTGTTTCCAGGAAATACATGTTCATCAAACATGGTATGGCTGGAAACAATGAAGCATTATGTGGTTGGATTGTAGAATCTTCAAGCTTTTGTTCCTGAAGGGTATCCAATGAAGATGTATTTTTGGGTGTGGAATTGGAGAGCTCGATGCTTCTTCTTTCAGACCAATACATATGCAAGGCATCCAAACACACAAAAATGAGATATGTCTGGTTTTTCTCTATGTGAATCAAATTCGATGAAGGAGGTGGTCATGTCAGGTAGTGATGAAGCTGGGCATCAGTTGCAAACATGGACAAATGTTAAAACTGCATGACCTCAGAATGAAGGTGGTAAGTGTGACTCCTCTAGCATTGCCATAGCACCCTCAGCTATTATGCAGTTAGCTCGCTCAGTGACACCATTTTGGTATGGCTCATTGGGTTCTGTATGGTGGTGCTGTATCCCATGTTCAGCACAGAAATCAATAAACTCCTTCCCCATGTATTCTCCTCCTTCATCATCTTGGAATTCGATAATCTTGAGACCAAGATGATGGTTTTCTGCATAAGCCTTGAATTCCTTGAAAGCAGCAAAGACATCACTCTTGTGCTTTAATAGCTTTACTCCCTAGATGTCAGAGACACTGCAAATGAATGTTATCCAGTAGCGATACCCTTCTGATGTCACTACCGGTAGTGGGCCTTTTACATCACTGTATACAAGCTCTAGTATGTGACATTTGCAGGTACTGGAAGATGTTTGGGGAATGTTATGATAGTGCTGTTTTTCAGCTAGGCAGGGAGGGCAGATTGGGTCATGAGGTAGACTGCTAGATATGCATTTCATGTCTTTAACAACATTCTTGGTTTGTATTGCTCAGATAGTATCCCAGTTTCTGTGACAACAGCATTTGTGCCATAGAGTTTCATCCATTGGGCAGGTGCTTGTTGAGTTTGCTGATGCTATAGTGGCTGGAATTGGAAAGGATACTGTGCATGCATTGACATAGCCAATATTGTCATCATTTAAAGAGGCAGTAAATTGAACTTTGTTGCCTTGACTGAATGTAACCATAGGACCAGCAATGCTAACCTCGAAACCCTTTTTGCATGTGAGATGATCAGGAAACAACAGATTATTTCACAATTCAGGTACATGTAGAACATCATAGAGCTCGACTTCATCAGCTACCTCCCCCTCAATCTATGGCTTGAACACCACTAACCCTACTCCTCAGAGTAAATGACTGTGTTATCTGCAAGACGAATGGGAATGACATGCAGAGAATACATGTGAAACCAGTAGTGGTGAGGAGTCATATGATGAGACACACCTGTATCAGTATTCCAGTGAGAAATGGTAGGCAATGAGAGATTAGTACTTGTGAGGCTAGTAGTTTCCTCTTTCACCTCCGCTGCATAACTGTTCCCCTTCTCTGCTTTTCCACCTCCTCCTTGATGCTGTTTCCCACTTGAATGCTCTCCTGCTTGGTCAGCCACCCTCTTGCGATCATGGGCAAGGGAGAACTTCTTTGTCATGCACTCCTCTTCAGTATGATTTTCACGAAGACACCAGTTGCATGTAATCTTGGTAGTGGATGGGGCTGAAGCATGGGATGGAGTGATGGTAGTAGCCTTAAGAGCAAGAGAAGAGAAGGAATCAGTCAAATGGGAGTAAAGATTGGTGAGACTTTTAGCATCTTCTTTCCAGATGCTGAAGAATGAATCATAAGTGGTGAACCTTGTGATTGGTTTTCACTGCTGATGGGTCACTTTGAGTTTGTCTCACATGCTTTCTGGATCCCCTTTTGAATGGAAGTCCTCCACATGGGCCTTTTGCAAAGACTTGAGGCACAAGTAGATGATACCTGCTGCTGCATCAAGGGTCTCACACCAATCCTACCAATCCTTGATTTCTGCTCACATAGGTTTTTCAGCATTGACAAAATCAGGTTCTCTGTACCTTCCAGAGGTAGCAAGCCAAAGGCAATGAGTTTTGAGTAGGGCCTTCATGTTTTTTGACCAGGTGCTGTAATTGTCGGTCCAAAGGTTGTCGAAGCCCTTTTTAGATGCGTCGAAGGCAGACATGATGATGGATGCTGAGATAGAGGTGTGAGAATGGTAATAGGTGCCTTTTGAGGCATGAGCAAGATGCAGAGACTCAGTTTTAAAGCTATAGAGCACCAGAGCCCATAACCTGTTGTAGGTATGGAGTGCAGTGTTTGATGTGAGAGTGAAATACTGGAGTGACAGTCAATTGCTTTGTATTATGAGATAAGTTACTGCTGATTACTTACCTGGAGTGACGGTCAATTGCTTGAAGAATTAACCATTGCCCCAGGATGTCCAACTAGGCTTAGCTAATGTGGCATGCCTGTTCCTTACTAGATACTACATCATCCTTTAACAAGCTCTGTACTAGCACAGCTTCAGAAAATGATAAGCAAGTTTGCCTAGGATAACCAGGAGAAAACACCAGTGAATAAAACAATTTTAGCTGCTGACATATGCAAGAGTGGGATGCAGATCCTAGATATCTCAATGCAGAATCAGGTGATCAAAGTAATGAGGCTGAAGTCATATCTATGACTCGATGAGCATCTGAAAGCAGCATATGTCAAAGATGCCATAATCAATAAATGCATCTGGAAGAGAACTCCTTGAGCTGCAGCCATGGCTAACATGATACTGCAAATCTGGACTGTGAACCTGCAACATAACACACAGCTCCTGAGACATATCACAGACGTGCTGTGCATAGCAGATACCTTTAATGTAAGGCTGGATATGCTGACACCATCTCAGGAAGTGTGGCACCAGATACCCATCTGGCATCACATAAGCATAGTATGAACAAAACAGAAGTGCTACTTCTCAAAGATATGCAGGTGTCTGATGGATAAGCATCTTGTCAAAACATCAGGTGATGCAGAGAATATGATGAGACTTGACTCATGAGAATATAAAATCAGAAAAGACTGCAAGTGTAATGATTGCCATGACAACCAGCTATACAAAGGATGTGAGAACCTGAACAAATGCACACAGATGGCTAAACACCTACTAGACAGCCTGGCAGAAAATGGGACCCCTGAAGACCAGATCAGAATGATCAGCTGAGTCTGACCCCAGAGGAGAAAGCACAAAATCAAAAGGCAAGAGAAGAAAATGGTCTGATATGCTTTGATCCTGATATTGATCAAGAGAACTCACTATCAGACAGAATACGCATCTTCATGTCAGGATGGGATACATGCTCTAGGCCTGTGCAGAGGGATGATGCAACAGACAGGCATGATGACAGAGCAATCACCATTTCTGTAGCCTATACAGATGGCAGCACCTATGATAATGGCACAGCAAATGCATGAGCCGGGGCTGGAGTCTGGTTTGGAGAGGGTGATGAACAAAATATCCATGTACAACTCCCAGAGCCATATCAGATGAACAATGCAGCTGGGATATGTGCAGTTCTTGAAAGAGTTCTAGTGGCAGTCTGAGAAGAAACCATACTAACAATTTCTGACTCTAAATATATGATAGAGGGCCTGTGCTTCCATCTGAAATGCTGGGAAGATAACGGATGGATGAGGGTGTCAAACAGCAACATCTGGAAGGCAACAGCAGCAGCACTGAGGCAGTGGAGAGCCCCAATATTCTTCCAGTGGACAAAAGGACATAATGGAAATGAAGGGAACAAAGGAACTGATGCACTGGCAGAAAAAGGCGCACAAGCAAATGAAGACAGTGCTACACCTGCAGACACAGAAATAACTCATGAATTTGATGTGGAAGGTGTATGACTGTCAATGATGTCCCAGAGCTGAGCATACCAACATATACAGAGTATAAGAGGGATAGAGGAACAGCAGTCTGCTCAGAATATGGTCCAGCAAGTACTGGCAACTGTTGCCAACATCAATGGAGTAGAGCTGATCCTGTTGAGACTATAAAAGTCTATCCGACATAAGAATGCCTTAAGACCTATGCGAGAGTTTCTGTGGAAAGCATTGCAGAGCACCTTCAAGATTGAGGCTTTCTGGGAGTGACTAGGCCCTTAATATGCGATAAGAGATGAATGCCCAGAATACAGAGTGCAGAAATCCATGGAACATATATTGGTCGAGTGCTCCATTACAGGGCAAACTACTCTGTGGAGCCTTGCCAGGGAATTATAGGAGAAGAGAGGACAAAGATGGATCCTCCCCATATACAGGGTCACTTTAGGAGGCACACTCATACAGATCAGAAAAGAAGATGGTGATGAACCTATAGACTCCCATGGGTGGAAACACAAAACCTAGGTGTGGTATGTGCTAACAAACATGGAATCTGAAGGATGGTTCTAGCGAGTCTAGTCGGAGCACCTCTGTGCGGTGACTAAAGCCTCCTAAGTTCAGAAAGATAAAGAAATTTCTCTACTAGTAGTGTAGAGGGTGGTAGCGAACTATAAATTCACAGGAAGGGAAGTAATTGGGAAAGGGATCCTAGAAGAGGCCCTAAAACGAATCAGTAAATGTACAAGGACTATACCTTGTTCCTGTTGCAACTCTAGCTGCGAGTGCAACGAATAAGAGCTCTAAGAAGATTGTCCAAGTTCCAGCTGCGAACTCAGAGGCTGTAGTGAATTATTAAACTCACGTGGTAAGGTTGAATCGAAGTGATGAGGATCAGTCTGATACTCGACAAGACTTTCTCTGGCTGTGAGAAAGAGAAGGCATTGATGGGAGGGATGAAAACGCTGTCTCCTAGCTGTGGAAGCAAGCAAATTTGTTTGCAAAGCAAAGCAATAAAAGAGTTTCCTAGTGGCAGGACTCCTAATTACTTTGCATAGAAGAGAGGGATGGGTTGTAAGCACAAGTAACCGTTAAAGGTTCACCGTTGCTTAGAGAAATAAAGGTTTGAGATGAAGTTCTAGCAGCAAAATGTTTTTATTGCGCTACTTCAAGAGTGTATGTTGTATGGTGTAGGTGTTAGAGATCAAAGGTAAGCATAGAGAATAATCTGGGATCTCTCTTATTCGCTCTCTGTCCCTCTTATTAAACTAATTAGCTAGCTACTTTTTATACTAGTTTGTGAATTAAAGGTTTGTAAGCTACAGTATTCCTTGCTGTGTTGATTTATAACACAAGCGAACTAATTACTGAGTAATAAGACATGATTAACCCTTCCTTACCAATGCTGAGTCATGCACAGTCAAATCCACATGCTACAAAGACTGTGCATTACTGTGCACTGCACTGTAAGTAAGCAAGCTTTGTAACAAGTTTACCAAGCAATCCAAGGGGTTTGCTTAGCGAATTAAACAGTCTTAGTAAGTTCTAAACCACTGCTGACTGTTGCGAATTAAATAATTCTCTAACTCATCATCAGGTAGGACTGAGTTATTTCAGGTGGGGTGGCTATGTGCTGAGATCAATGATGGGATTTGATCAATCAGGATCTGCAATCAAAGTGCCTGAAGATCAATGGCTGTGCTCTGATGTAGAAAAGCCTGATAAATCCGTGAATTCTGAGTGCACAGAGCCTAGAGGCTCATCAACGGGACAGTTGATGGGCCAGCAATGCAGCTATATCAAATTCTAGTGACAGAGATGGTTCACATGATATGGAAAATACAATGTCAGCCAAGGATCCAGAGAGGTGATGAAGACCCCATGCAATGGCATACTGAGGATGAGATCCAGAACCTCTGGATAGATGCCATGAATAAGAGGCTGACAGTTGACCAGTTATTGGCCAACAGGAAGAAGTACGGCTTGAGAGCAATGGCAAAGGCCAAGGTACTTGCCACATGGAAGGGTACACTGCAAGATGAGAAGAGCTTGCCAGAGGATTGGATAGATCAAGGCAGAATTTTAGTGAGCATCGTGCTGATCCAGCAGAGGCTGAAAGGCAGGCACTAAGCACCACACAAACTAGGATAGTTGTGCTTAATGCATTTCCTCATATAGACCTCTTGGTTTGGCTTCTCAATTAGGACATCTCTCTCTCCCTCTGGGCATGCCCCACACCAAAACGAGCAAAACGAGCAACCCAGATTAACATAGTTAATTGCAGGCTGCTATGTACATTGTGACACGTTCTACAAAAAATAAAATAAAATAAAAGACCAAACTACAGTCAAGTGCTCTTCAACACTTGGTGTTTCTGTATTGAGCTGGACAAGGGTGATAGTTTCCAAATGAGATCTCTGGAGTCATTGCTGGTGTGTATAAGTGATTGACTGCATGAGAGGGGAAGTAGCTGATGTAGACAACACAGTTTACACACTTCTGATTCTTCTAGGTATAGCTTGGCTCAGAAAACATGTTATGAAAATCATCAAGCACACTTTGAATACCCCTGAGAGATTCTCCACAATTAGAGGTCTCTCCCATTAAATACAAGGAAACATGTCATTTCCAATTTCTTCAATGTAGAGTCTGTTGTGTATTAAGAAGAATCCACCCATGTGGCTCATGCCCTTTGCAAAGTGAAATGCAATGGAAATAAGCATTTTTCTAGTCAATGCATCATATTGATTGCCATCTCTGTTTTCCAAGGGTGGTCTTGAGATGCTCAGATTGAAAAAAGAGCCTGATGGTCTCTCCTAGAGTTGTACATTTTGATGCTTCCTCTATCATGAGGAAGAACCAGTCACCACTGCCTTTGTTGATTCCAGGTGTCTGACTAGCTGCAGTAGCTCTGTCAGATATTGTAGGTCCTGGAAGTAGAGATGGGGTTTGGTCATTAGATGGAGTGGTGAGTCAATGTGTGGGTGGTGATAGTTGTAGTGGTGGGATAGATGTGGAGGATGCTGATGATGATTGTTATGGTTTTTATTTTCTTTTTCCTATCTCTAGCATCTATCTTATCTTAGCACACAACTGCTTACCCAAGGGTCATGCTAAAACAGGATCACTCTAGCATTTCACCACGCATCATCATAAACCACAAGTAGAACCCATGACTAATACACAGACAATGTATGACAGTACTATTATTAGAATACTCGAACATGTATTTAAGCAACCTCAGTGGTGGCCTTAAGCCCTGGCTTCAGCTAAGGTTAATACTATCCAACTTTAAAGCTCTTCACTCTCAGATTATCTAAGTTCATCTAACTGACTCTATAAACTGACTTTGCCTACAAGAATCACCTTGAATCACTGAACACGAGTGATAAGGCCTTGTTTAATATTGTTTGGCAAGTTGGTGGCTAACAGTGATACAGCTCCACTTAGTTCTGGTGAATTGAATGATGTCAATAAATTTGTCAGCATGAATGTTGGACCTGCCTGAAACCTCTTGATAGTAAAGATATTGTTATCCTCTGAATGAAATTTGATAAGGTCCCATTCAAGGCATGAGATACAGCAGGGGATAACTATTCTGTAAAACAGATGGATGAGTTCAAGTAGCCTTCTCCATATGTTATACAAATTGCTTGTCAATACTTGTATAGCTAAAGTGAATATTCCTTTTTCCTCACCCTTGATGATGGTACCTCCAATGCTGTAGGATCTGTTCACTATAGTTTTGTTATTCAGATTCATATTCCTGGAGTTTTTGTTTATAAAAAAGTTGGTAAGTCCCAGAATTGGTTTTTCTGCCTGATCAATGTATCTGTACTAGTGGGGACCTGTTGAAGTTTTGGATTTCCAAGGTAAAATACATCAAAACATACAGTACTATATATTTAGCTGTAAGATTTGCATATGTTAATTTATGTGATGCATTGTGTGATATAACTTTCAGCATCACTGCAATAATAACTTACACTCACTTTGCTACCTGCCCAACTCCTTGCTGCTATCTGTAACTAAGTCATTTCTCTTGTGTTTTTGTTAGTGGAAGGAAAATTTGAGGAGGAAGTGGAAACTGCAGTATCAGAAAAATGCCAAATACCATGTAGCCATGTGCCAAGCTTATGGTATTCTCACTAACCTTGGTAAGTAGTACAAAGTCAATGTGTCTAAGATATGTTGTGGCATTGTTGTATGAATAAATAGAGTCTATTGTAATTGATTTCGAGACCTTAGAAGTTGGTAGAATAAAGATACAGAGCATTTGTAGATGTCATATGTAGCTGGCTCTGACATCCAAAATCTGGTGGTACCTTACTGAGATGTCACTGAACTTAAGAGTTATATAAACAGGAATACTTAACAATCACAATAAAACAAAGCTTGTGCAGCACTATCAGATTGACATCAATATTAAGCATCTTTCAAAGCAGTTGGTGGATATAATACATGAAGAAAGAGACCTCTGGGAGGAAGGGCAGCATAAAGAATGAACATGGAAATCAGGCCTAAAAATAAAAGAGCCAATGAGAAGCAAGAATTGTGTAGCCAATGAGAGCAGCAATAGAAGCAGGTTCTGACATCCACCTGTTGTATAGTAGATGTTTTCTTAAGGAATTCTTCTATAAGCCTCTCTAATATCTGATATTTCTCTTCCATGAGGAGTATTTTTAGCATCTTCATGTTGTGATAGCAACTGACAAAGATCAGGCATTCATGGTTGCCATCAATTTCTGTGATAAATAGTACACCTATTGGTATAGGAATTAGATCTGGTATTGGGTCCATTGTGATGGAAGTTTGGTGGTAAACATGGGACAGTGCAGCATAATTTCTTGAAGTCTCTTCCTCAAGGCCTTTTTGTTTATTTCATCTATTGACTATTGCTTGATGTACACCACTCCCACTTGAGATAGTGAGGAAGAGCACAGAGATAGAAGGTTCCATTATCCAGGTCCAAATCTGCTAGCATACATTGAAGTGCAAGAGAAAGGTCTTTGGGAACTTCCCCAAGATCATCTGGCCAATTGACTTTAATGCCAAGCAGACTGCACTTGATAAGATCAAACCAGAATACTCACTTGGGTATAGGGCATGCCCTCTAGTAAGATATAAGACTTGAGAAACTTAGACAAAGTGGCCGGACCAGGGATCTACACAGGAAAATGTGTTGAAAAGATAATGTCAGAATGGTGAAGGCCTTGCATGATTTAATATGCAGATAGAAGGAAGAAGAAAAGGAAGAAGGAGTAGGTACCAGAGGAAGCAAACATCATGATGTGCTCAACTTGAACCATTTCATAAACCAAGAAGCTCATTCCATGACTATGACAGTGATGTATGAAATGTGCAAGTAGTCTTTTGACCATTGTGATCCTCTCAGATATAATAAAGATGGCTGGCTATGCTAGGTGTGTGTTGGATGAGTGCTGGGTTAGGGGTGAATATATTTCTGACTGGTCTTCACTTTGCTTTTACTTATGCAATCTCAGAATTGCTGATATCTACTAGTGGGGTGAGGACTGACACATCTGCAGGGCAGGTCTGAGTCTTACATATATCTTTTTCTCCAAATTTGTAAGCCAGCTGTTCAGTGATTAGAATGGTGTGCCATCCAGGATCCCTTCCGAATTAAAAACACAAGGAACTAAAACATGCCAAGTCTCAGTCGAGCAGCATGCAAATTCAATCAACACAAGCAGGTGATCTGCCCAGATAAAAAGAATAGATATTTAAAACAGCAAAACAGAAAAACAAATTATAACTACAAAATACAGAAATAGAGGTGATAGGGATGCAAACTTGTCACTCAACACCAACCTCAGAATGATAGATGGGTTCTACAATGTGCAAGAAGCCAGTAAGAAACAGGTACAACCTCAAAACAGATGAAGACTGACCGACTTTACTGTTAGGAAGCTCCATTGACACCCTCATTGAAGACAGGATAAAGAAAGACCCCCATCATCTCATGCAGATAGCACAGGTGAGCAGTAACAGACAACTTCATAAAACCATACAAACAGTTCCACAGGATACAACAGCATTCAAAGAAGCAGAACTCGCATTTGATGACAATGCACAGTGCTGGTGCTTAATACATCGTGCAGAGACCATGGACGCAGTGGACGAGATGATTTTCACCACTACAGGCACACTAGTGGCAATGGACTTGCCGCCAATTCTAAAAGAGTATCCATGAGTGCCAACATACAGATGTGAGACCAATGAATAATCTTACCAGTCCCAGGAGAATGAGAGAGAAGATCTGATTTATGAGTCAGTCGGTGATGCTGTCTGGGCTGAGCAGCCAAGGATTCGATAAGATAATTGAGGCACTAAGAGGTATGCAACACACAAGTGTGGGAGAGTTCCAACAGGGATGATTACAGGATTGGGTGCCAATGATAGCACAAGGGTATGATGCAGTGGAGTTCTCAAACTGATACTTTTGGCCTGTGGGCAGGAACAGTGGCCCAGAGGAGATACAGATCAGCAAAGACATCGACCCTAAAGAGATACTGAGGATACTAGGGGGGATGAATATGATGCACACTGAAGACAATGAAGTCAGCTATTTCAGAAGGATAATCAATGGAGGAAAGAAAAAGTGAGTGTTATGCTATAAGTCCAATGTATGCCAACAGATATGTGAAAGTGAAATCACAAATGTTCAGGATCGAAGATATTGTTGAAACGCAGTGCTTAATAGTATTCGTGAAGTGCAAAGGTGGAGGCATAAGGATGAAAGTGATACTAAGGGCGTTGGCACTCATTAACTGTGACCACACAATGGTAAGCACCACCTGAACATCTGATGATAAGGAATAACTAATCAAGTTTTTTTTAAAATTTTTTTATTTGTTTTGTCATTGTAGAATGTGGCAAAGAACAAAAGTGCCATGGGCAAAAACAGCATATGACACACATCAAGGATGAAGTGCCAAATAGGGTTCGAATACAAAGAAAGCAAAGGACCAACAGAAGGCAAACATAGGAGAGGTAAGAACACTAGGAGCAGGGAGAAAGATGAAGAAAGGGAAGAGGACAATGAAAAAGAGGGGGAAGAAGGGGAAGGAAAAGGTCAGGCCATGGAGGTAATCAAGTAGTTTACATCAGAGGAGACAGTAAGAAGAGAGCAGAAAATAGCAAGTTCTTCAAGAGAGATATGATATCGGCCTCGAGACAGATATTTAAGCTTAAGAGAGAATAATAAGAAAAAATCAGGGAGAAAATTGGAAGCAATTGTAACAGGTGGAACTGGGATCAAATAGAAAAATTCTTATAAAAAGCTCAGGTAGGAAAACTGGCAAATACTGTTAAGGTTTGATACCTCAAATAGATTTTCCCATAGCCAATTCCACCTGCATAATGACTGAGAATCCTATATTCATAGGACTCAGAATCATCATCTTCCTTTCTTGTTTGTTACTTGTAAATCAAGTCTTTCTAGACACTGTTGTCACCACTTTGTCTAGTGACTTTGCTTTTGCAATTATGATACATACCATTTCATAACTGCAATTATATGATTGATTACATTATTCACTTAGATGATATGGTAGAAAAACAGCACAGTCTGGGAGAGCAATTTCTTGGTGGTTTAAATGGTAAGAGTGCATGTTCAGTTCAAACATTTAATATCCACTGCTTAGATAGATCTTGAGCTTAGATACATACTGCTGAAACTATTGTTGCCATTTTCAGTTTAAATCTACATTCTGTATTATTCTTCTGATCAACATTCACTCACAGGCCTGGGGATAAAACATAGCTTGAGTTTTCTGTTGCTCTACATATATGTACTGGGAGGATTGCTTTTGATGGATACTTAGACAGATGAATACTATATATAGCAATTATTTATAATCAGAATCTAATCAGATTCCCCATCATCAATGCTGATTTCTTCCTCCTCCTTCACTTTCTCACTGTCCTCATCATCAGTAGAAAGTGCCTCAAGTTCAGCCTGTGTGTATTTGGGAAAAGGCTTTTCAATCTCTCCAAAATCAGCCAGTTTTAGCTTATTCTTATGAGTTGAGTGCCTATTTTTTTAGCATTCTGCCATGCCAGCACAGCCTGGTGGAAGCACTCATGCTTCTTATTGTTCCTCTCTACATGTCTCTTGTTCTCTCATATTCACTGTACCATTGCCATTGCCTTCTTGTTCTGCAACAATGCACAATGTGCTTTTTTCTTTTTTGCTTCTTCTACTGCTTCCTCATGAGCAGTGACTATGTTGAAGAAGTCATCTCCAGTCATCATCTTAGGCATGTCATCTCCCATGATGCCTCCTTGCTTCTTGGTCCTTTTCTCTTAGAGTCAGGGAATGATGTGTAGAATGGCCAGATTGACTCAGGGAGAAGACAAAATGTCAACCTGATGGTCCAGCTACTGAAGATTCTGGTACATCTGACCTATCATCACAGTTTACATGCTGATTCTTGATATAGGTAGTCATCAACTTCAATATGTGATGCACTAGATTAGACTGCAGTGTGGGCATTGTGTTCTCTGTTGACATCTTCACTCTAGGTGCCATCATCTCCCTTACTGAAAACATCAGGATTGAGAGGTATGACTCCTGTCTTCTTGAATACAACTCTTTGCTTTTTGTTTGCCTATTGAAGTCCTTGATCCACTCCATGCTGATTTCACAATTGGTATATCCTTTCTTCTGGTATCCAATTCTATCCTCATGTAAGTATAATATCAATATTATGTTTGTTTACTCACAATATTTTCAAGGAGTTATTCTGCTTTCATGACATCTGATAACTCTCACCCTTGAATATAATGGCAGGAGCCACCCAAGTACCATTTGCATAGATTGTTGTAATTACAGTGATGTTCTCTCTGTCTCCACTTTACTGTTGGTGCTGAATCTTTGCACTATGAGAACCATAGACTCTTTCTTCCACACCAATCCTCTGCTGGATCCCTGTCTCATCTGTCTCATAGATTAACTCACAAGGTATGATATCCTCTCCTTCATCTCCTTCAATCACAGCTTCTATAAGCTCAAAAAATTCCTCTTTTGTATAAAGGTTCATAGCATGTGCATGTGAGTGGTCTAGAAGGTGAGACCAAAATGCTTTTATTTTATCTGAGTGCTTCTCAACAAAATGCTTTGCCCAGTTTTGACCAACTCCTTTTGCTGGAAATTCACTGTCAGGCCTATAGTGTGCCCAACAAATTTCATTCACATACTCCATAATGCATCAAAGACTAAGTGAAAATCTCCAATAAGCTATTGTTTTCATGTAGGCAAGCATGACATGCTATTCTTCTGTGATAAATCATCCCTTATCCTTATTGGATTGTGATAGACTCATGATAATCCCTCAAATACAGAGAGATCTCTTGGTGAATTTCCATTAAGCACTTCTTTTCCAACTCCTTGCATATCATCCTCAGCCCTTTCCTCTTCTCCTCAAGTGGTTGTGCCATCTCTTTCCAGTATACTTTTTTGGCTTTGTCTATATATGCATCATAGTTTTCTCAGCATATTTATGCCTTTTTGGTGTCTGACTTGGAGTGCTCAACTATTTTCACAGTGTAGTAGTATGTTCTTGTGAAGAAAATAGAAGCTGAGTGCATCCAATGTGAGTAGAATTCAATAAGTAATATGTAAAAAAGAAAAGAAAAGTGTGCCACTGACTGTGTCCTAATATAGTAATCCATTATATAATATAGCAACCCATCTTTAAAATAATTATAGTTGTAGTATATTCCCAACTGCTTTGGAAATTTGTTATTATTATATGGACATATCTTAGTATGATTTATACACAAACTCCGAGACTAGTTTGACCATGAGGGAAGCATCTGGGCTGAGTGTCTTAGTGACTAGTCTTTAACTGTACCATGTGAAAGCATCATATAAGATAAGCATGAACTTGTCCAGCTCACACAGCAAGTGGATGCAATTTGCAGAATCATCATCTTGGATGGTGGTCATGGAAAAGAACAGTGGAGTTTGAATTCTATTGAAAATTTATTATTTGTATATTTGTCAGTAGCTTTCTATAGTGCAGTTTTGGCTTTTCTAAGTAAGGTGATATGATCAAGCATTAAAGCTGTGGAAGGAAAATGCACCTGTCACATGGTGCAAAGCAAGCATTGGAGACCATGAACATGAGTAAGATTCTGGTGGGGTGGTGTTTTCTACCAATAGAGGAGGGTGGGCTAGATATAGTGAACCCAATTGTGTATGCACTGATAGTGATAGCTGTAATGACTCTAATGTGAGCTTCAAGTATATCTTTCCACCTCTCCCCCAAGCCCTCTACCTTCTCAAAAAAGCCAAACAGCACCTTAAACTCCTCCTCAGCTTTGGTGGCTAAACATACAGCCTAGCATGCACTATTATGAGTACCCTCAGAATGATACTCAGATTATGTTAAGCTCCAAGTGCTGGACATCCATATGCAAGGTTGGGGGAGGTACAGGTTCCTGATTGCCATAAGCTCTATGTTCAAGAGATGGATGTGTCAGCAGGTTCTTGAGACAAGATTGTGAGTCATCAGACAAATCTATATATGCCACTGATTGGTGCATCTCAGGCTGAGGATGGGCTGGGTTGGAGAGTAGAGTGTATGATTGTAGGGCATAATCTGGGAGCAGTTGGCAGTTAGAATTCATGATGTGACAATTATGTGCTGCATTCAAGATCCTGCATGAGGTAGAAGCCTTGTGGAGAGTATTGGTCTTAGCATTAGTCATTTCAGCATGCACAGACTCCGTGTATGGGTTCACCCGCTTGCTAGCCATGGTGTTGGGAGCTGATGCCAGAACTGTGAGGTTGAATTGATGCCTAGACTCTATTTATCATAACAATCTAGAGATCTTCATGATTGCCAGGTATTTGATATCCATACCTGGCAGATACACATCTGTGGATGTCACAGTATCTGTGATACCTGGGTGCTGCCTGGATGGTGGGTATGGCTTTTGATGTGACAGATACTCATCACAAGTACCCACTAGAATACTCTCTTATCTCACCACCTTGCCCTGTCACAAATCTTCCTGATGCCCAGACATAGCTCAGTCAGTCATTTTACCTTAGTTCTTGGTCTTAGACTTTAACTCTGAACTCTCTCCCACATCAAATCTTCATCTCATAAGCTTAGATCAATATCTTGTGATGAAGATTTTTCCATTGTTTTTCATCTGTTTTTCTTGCATTTCAAAGCATTCAAAAGCCTCAGTTTGTGACTTCAAATTAACCTCTTACTCGTTAAAATTGGCCTTATCATTGTAGAATTATGGCAGGATCTCTGTTTTGGCAGGGGATGGAGAGCATATTCAAGCTATCTTGGGTTTGGATGGATGCTTCTCTTGTAGTTTATTGAGTAAGAATTGCATGAGTATTATGCAGGTACCTGTATATACCTGGATGAGTGCAGGAATATAAAACAGTCAATGGACACCCATTCTCTATGCATGTATACTATCATTAGAGCTGAATAAGCAACCTGAACAAGGCAGAGTTGACATGGAAGAGTGGGAATCTGGTTCAGGATTTGGTGAACAATGGGGAACCTCACAGAGTCTGTGCATGCATTTTATTTCAGTAAATAATTTTTTTTTCTCAGAAAACAGCCTCTTCAAGTTTATCAAAAGTAGTCTTAGAATATGTTCATGTATTTATCATATGATGAGAATCAATAGCAAGTGTGATGTAACTGTCCTGCTGGTTGTGCATATTGTCTCTCTGCATAGTCAATTCTTTTTTATCAAAGGGTATGTCCCTAGAGGAAAGTGGGTCACAGGCTGAATTTTTCACTGTCTCTCTCACTGCTCTGTAAAAACTTGACCTCTTTGCTGCCATTGCAGATCTGGAAGGTGATTATGGTTGTAGTGAAATTGAGACTGATATATTGATCTATAAAACTTGAAACACAAGTCTGTATCCAAGGTCTCATCAATGATGCATACTACTGAACATTGCTGTGGTCCACACAGCTCTTCCTCATATTTGATTCACATTCCATGACAAATGTTATTCAAAGTATCCATCAAAAGAAACATAACCCATCAGACTAAACCTAGGCATCTCACTATTTTGTCTTCTATTAACTCCTCTGAAGAAGTCTCAAGAGCATTGTTGGGATTGCATTTGAGGTCTATCTATTCTACTATCAATTCTGCTTCTTTTCCCCCTCTTGATACTGCAATATGACTTTCATGTTTTGACTCCTCCTCCAGCATTGAATGAAGAATCTGAGGAAGGCCAATGGGTTTGTCAGTCTCCTGATGGCATTCTTCATATGTGGTTAGCGACATGTTTTGAAAATCATCCATGTACACTGCTGATATCATCTTCCTTTTGTGATCATCATGCACTAGATAAATCAGCCACTTATACCTCACATTGACATGATTGTAAACCACTCCAGACAACACCATGCAGTCATCCATGGTATTGGTATCTGTCACTTTGAGTTGTTTAATGATGTGGTGCATACCTAGGTCATTGGTAAAGTGAGATTCCCTGTCTTTCTTCCATATATCAACAAGTGTAGGCTAGACAGAATATATTAGCTGCTATGTATTTGAATAAAATGAATAACTTGTTAAAATGAGTGTCTAGTTGTTCAATGAAGACTTGATATGCTCTGCTAAATATTTTTGGACTGTAAATAGAGATTGAAGATGTAGGTGTGACTCTATAGCCTCTTTCACAGTCAAGCAGATCACCTTTTTCACATTTTCACTGCAAACCAGCCTGTCAGACTATACTGAGAAATAAGAGAACATGTATCTACAGTGTAAAGCTAAGATGTTAGTATGCATCATCTTCCATGCATGCTTGGCAACTCCATTGATAACCACACCAGTTAAATTAGCTGTGGTGAGAGCATTGAAATAACTTTCACTAAATGTATCTGATCACATCTGATGGTGAAGCATGTCTTTTATCATCTCACTGCCAAAGATGATGTGTAATAAAGCAGCAAGACTACAATAGAAACAGTACAGGATGACTCTCTCAAGAACTACTGCATCATTTCAGTAAAAAAATATACAGATAAAATCATACAACTCACAGCCAAGTCCACAATTAGCCACAACTATCTTGATTTAAAGGATTGCAACTCATCATGATTGGTCTTCAACACTGAGGTTTCCTCAAATACAACACATTTGATGAGTTGTTGGAGAGATGACTTGATTATTCAGTGGAAGCTGGAATTTGGAGATGAATCTGTTTTCTATAAAGAATTATCTGGAGGGTGTGGTCTCTGCTACAAAAAGGTTCTTCACTATAATGGTGCCTGCCCACATCCATCATCCATATATTCTCATGGGTGATACCTTGGATCATAAATGTCACTCTGCAACCTGTTAGAATAAAACAATGCTCTGGCATTAATGACTTACACATATAGCTTATCTGTGTGTCCACTCTTCCAGTGTTGAATTGTGACCAGCATGTCAAAGACATCCCATTGTGGAGTGTGGCATAAAGCCAGATTCTGTTAGTATTAGTCAAATCCAGGTTGGAAAACTCCAAAGTTCTACTCACTGAGAACTTGAGCCACTCATTGGAATAGTGAGACATTTTCAAAAATGATTTAGGATGACATCTGGTCATCATCATTAGTGACCAGAGTGGTATGTGTTGTAGGACTTGGCAAGCATTAGAAAAGATCAACTTTCAAGAATGATCATACCTGATCCATAGTCATCTTGTTATTAGGCTTTGCTAACATCTGAAATGACTTTTTGATAAGTAAGTGCAATTCTGGGAGGCTTCAATATTGCTTTGGTTGCACATCTTTGGGTAGGTCAAATGATTCAACCAGATATCAGCAATGCTAAAAGTCATTTAGTTTAATGAAAATGGAAAGCTGACACAACACTCATATGCTCTATCCTCCCACAAGATGCATAAAAAATGACTGCTTATCTATTTTCCTTTCTTCATAGTGGATAAAAAAGTCATCACAGAAGCAGTTAAGAACATTATATGCTCTGGTCAACATATAAGCTTATAATTCTAATAATAAAAAAATGGAGATGTACCACTAACAAGCAGGGCAATTTTCTGTCATTAGAAACTTTAAGGTCAAAGTAGAAGTCATCGGACACACATCTATGCCAACTCTATTGCAATTTTTATCACCACATAAATCAATCTTAAAGTCGACAATAAATTCATATACTACTGGAATATGTGCTAGCCAAGCAATTGGGTTTCTGTAACAGCTCTCTCAGCACAATTTCTCACAATAAAATAATTGGCAAACCCCATTACAATGGATTTCTCAATTTTATCTAAGCAAAGAATAAACAGCAAGCATGAGCAAGTATTTCAAGCCATGGGTGAGGCATTTGAGCCATAGGTGAGAGCCAAGCAGTGAGCATAGGTGAGCATACTATGACCATTTTCTCAGTGATATAATTATCCTCTTACTACCATATACCACACCTTGTTTCACCCTCTCACCTCCCACCACCATGGACAAGCTCAATACTGCCCTTATTACTGTCAGAGCCTATCTCATTCAAGTTTTCAAACCTAGCAGCAGCCCTAGAATGTGAAAAAACAAAAAGGAAATCACTGCAGCTGCTAGAAACAACTGTATAATCTTGTCAGAATGCTCAAAGATGACAACAATAATAACAACAATAACAACAACAACACCAAATCTGAAGTCCAAGACATATGCCCACTCTTTTCAAATCTTCCATCTAACTCTGTATATAGAGCATATAGAAAGATTCAATGCCCTCATTGATAAATTCAACACCTGTGAAACAAAAACCTGTTACCTATTAGCATGAGCTTTCCAGCTCTACATATCAAGACCTATCGAGACCAGCATTGCTGCAGAACACAAGAGTCTCCTACAACTCTTATACAGCTACATAGATAAACCAGAACAATGGGTAAGCCTGCTTTCAATGATTCAGGCAGAGGCTAACACAGCATTTAGGCAGAGGCCCTCAATACACTCTCTCAAAAAGGTCACTGCATGAGAACCTCTGAACAAAGCATTGAAAAAACACAGCAGTGAGCATGCTCACATGATTACCAGTTGCAACACTTTTTATGATCTCTACAAACTCATACATGTTCATATATGCACCTTGACATACTCACCAGGTGCAGTTTGGACCTGGCATTTTTTTGGCAAGTTTTGGGACCCTCAAAACTATAGATTAAAGTTGTTCCATGCCCTGCTCAAGCATTTTGCCAGCAACATGCTTGTTATCACATAAATTAATCTTGAAGTCAACAATATATTCATATGCTACCAGAGCATGTGTTAGCCAAGCAATTGGGTTTTTGTGACAGCTCTCTTAGCACAATTTCTCCTAACAGAATAAATGTCTAAAAAAACACTCTTCAAAGTTTTTCCCATGATATTTTTGTGGTGCCAAATTTTTAAACTAAAAAATTTGAATTATGTATACCTCTTTTAGCCTCAGCAGCAGACATCAGTCAGTCATTTGACTCTATCAGCAACATCCACAGCTGGAAACTACATAGGGTATAACCAGGGACTCCGGTTACTCACCGGCTACTTTCGGGATACTCAGATAGGCAGTAGCATATGATTCTCTCTCTCTAGCTTACCATCACCTGTCTCGTCTCGACGTCCTTACAGAGCTCATTCCTCGCACTTCATGTGATTGAGTTCTCTAGTGTTGCTCTGTGGCTACAAGCCTACATAGTGCTGATTCTGATGCTTTTCAAACATTCCTGTACACTCATCAGCCAATGACAAATTGAACCTCCAAAGATCCTATTTACTCAGCAAGCATCTTCTGTGAGGTAGATAGGTAGGTAGTATTACACAGCAGTGTCTATACAGTGAATGCCAGTTCCAGACATTATGTACACAGTCACAGCAGTATATACTAGTAGAATTTAAGATGCTACATATTGACCACTAAGACCTGCATGATGCTCAGGTCTGACTCCAGCAATATTAATTACATCAATCCTGTGCTCAGGCCTTTCACTTGAACACTGCTGAGTGATACAGGTTGCTCAGGTAGCACTTATATTGATGGATAACAGAAGATCTGAATTGCTTTAGAGTACATCTCTAGATAATTGTTATTAAGAGTTTGTGACTTCTGGTTGCTAAGTTCTTCCTTGCTTTCAGTCCCTTGGATCTGGGTCAGACAGATATCTGGTCCTTCAATTCTCAGACATCAACTTCGCAGCATGATTTCTGAGCCCAGTTGTATTATGATTCACCTATTTTGAAGCTTTGAAGGCTTGCCCTGCCTTTCATGATAGCTGGTTTGTGGACGAACAGCTTGATAAAATTCAATGATCTTGACACTATCAATGAAGAGGCTGGCTGTGAGCATCTGTGGAATAGTGAGCAGACTAAAAGGCAAACCTCAAAAGCCCACACACACACTCACACAACTACACAAACTATAATCACTCTTATAAGTTTTAGGGAGCAATTATTTCTAATGTGATCCAACTATACTTCAATATCTTGAAGAGTTTCTTTGTTTCTTAATGCTTCTAGTGAAGCTAAGCTTTCTCAAATGAATTTCTAAGTCTAGAAACAAAGATGATACATGTCAAAACAATAAATAGAACAGAACAGAACAGAACTCAGATTTCCACTTCAATATATTCTCTGAACAGACTTATCACACTTAACAGAACAGAAACAGCATCACTGATTCATATTCACTCTGACTAAGTTCTCAAAAGTCTTATCAAAAGGGTATCTCATATTTCTCTGAGTGAGCTCACTAAATTCTATGCAAAGCTTGAAGTCACAAACTGATCCTTTGTCACAGCACTGCCTTTAACATGTGCACTGGAACTCGAGGGCTCAAAACTTGACTTCTACCCACTGGAACTGTCCTACTTATACTACAGGGAATTTAGAATTACAAACATTGTGCAGTATCCAGACTCCTACATGCATAGCATATTAGTCTCATTTCTATAGTGAGCTCACTAAATGTGTGCCAAGAGGTGCTCTCCTGACACCCGCAGGCTTGTTCTCTGATGACTGACAGGTTTAGGTGCACAGAACTATTAGTTTTGGCATATGTCTTTCAAGACTTTTTTCTTGAATTCAGAGGCTTCTCATAGACATGGCAACAAGTGGACCTCTTGATCTGCTATAGCCACCACACTCAATCTTTCCACAGTCCACTAACACCGTTTGAAGAGAATTGAGAGAGTGTATAAGAATAGATACATGTAAATACTTTTTGTAATAACTAACTACCTACAACATTAAGAAATCATACCAACAAAATGTCCAAAGGACTGGACCCACTCAACAACCCAGAAAATACAAGTCTTACCATAACAATGGCAGAAGCAAAACAGACACACATGGTCAAGCTGAAAACAGCTGCTGAGGTGGTAAAGAAAGACTATGGAAAGTCATTGGAGATAGATGGGACACCCATGAGTGCCATGTATAATGTCATAACTGTGCTATGGCACATGACCAAAAATGAGTTGAAAGCAACAAAAACATTGACTAACAGGCAACATTGCACAATAGTCAACCTGGTTAACATGCTAGAAGAATAGAAAGACCTGCAAGAGGCCATGGCCCTCACTAACCTGATGAACGACAATTTCAGAAGCTTGCAGAAATGCTCAAACATGCTGAAGATCACAGTGGACAACTAAAACACCAATGGCATAGCCATTAATGAACAGCTACCAGAGCTAAAGCAAAGCATAGCCACTCTCCAGTCCATTGTTGAAGACCTGCAGACCACAAACACCCAAACAACACTACACCCCCAACTCATCACAACCATGTATGAAGCTTTAGCTAGTGTGACCACTAACATCGAGGACACCCTCTATATCATGCTGGATGACATCAGGGTTGTTGAAGCTCAAAAAATTGCCAACAGTGGAGTGGCATACATGTTCAACTCGGATGATGCAGCCACATGGCTCCACACACCTGGAGCACTAGAGAACATACAGAGAGCAGCAGGTGATGAGACATCAGCAAGTCTACAGCTCAACAATGTCATCATCCCATTTGCACTGACTACCATTGACATTGAGGACAATGCGACATGGCATAGCATCGAGAATAGCAGTGGGCTGACAACAGGTACTATATGCAACATACGATTCCTCAAGCCTGCTGAACACCACCATGAAAGACAATGAGAAGCACATCTCATATTAGGACTAGACTCATAGGAACAAGCAAACAAGATCATTCAATCAGGACTAATCATTGAGAGGAAGGAGCTTCCTGATGCTACACAGTGCATAAAGTGCTCTATTCTGCCATATGACCATGATGCAAAGGACTGCCTAAATATGACAAAATATGGACAGTGTGTGGGCGGTCATACAACCAGAGACTGCAAAGTCACAGACCGTAAAAAATTTCACTGCATCAACTGCAAGGTCAATGGCCATGGCACTATTGACCATAATGCATATTCTTCTTTCACTAGAGCTACCAACATTGTACATAGTCAACATCTTGAGTTAAAATATAGATACTTTGTGACTGAGGACCCTGCTATATGGGCCATCTATGATGTTCAAACACAAGCTGAAACTGCATGCCCTTTGAAGGTGATAAGCAAAAGTACAAGCAGACCAAACACCCAAAGTGACACTACAATGTCGTCCTTGGGGAGTTTCCTGGTCTTGCCCCATATGACTTGAGACAAATGTAATGATGGCAGCACAATGTGGAGAACAAGAACAGCATGGACATTGAACCACATGCACCCTCCCTGCCTGTAGACCTATGATTGATACACCCAACAATAACCCTACCTCGATGCAACTGAAACTCTACCAGCTCAATGTCAACAAATTGCTCATTGCCCACTCTTGCCTTATAAACCAAGTACACCAAGATGATGACATTATCATGATCAATCATTATTGTCAATGTCTATAGCGATGGGAACTCAATAGCAGCATGGAAGATCATTGATGACATGTTAAGAGAGTATTCAGCCAAACGACAAGATGAGCAGGGCCTACCATACCGCTTCATCTGCATGGGAGATTGGAATGCACACCACCCACTATGAGATAAACCCCATAATTCACACCTTTTCACAGACCAAGCCTTGGAATAGGCTGGACACCTACTGCAGATTATGAGACAGCATCATCTCAAAATGCTACTACCTGCACTTGTACCAACACTATGAGCATTCTCCACAGGCAACTATACCTGTGTCAACAACATCTTCTGCTCAGATGAACTGCTGCCAGCATTCATCCAATGCACCATTGACCACACTGCTCAACCACCATGAACAGACCACTTCCCTATCATATCCACTATCAACATATCCACTGCCATCAATGATAACAATCAAAAACCAAATGCACACAGCACTAGAAGATCTTGACCATGTGATACAAAAAACCATAGAGCTATATGTCCCATGGACCAAACCAAGCCTATACATCAAGCGATGATGGACAGGTGAGCTTACAGATCTATGTAAATGACTACACAATGTGCAAAAAAAGGCATACAGATTCAGGATGTTTGGAGACCATTCCATACATGAGGAAAGAAACAAGCTACACAACAAGTATGCTATGGCCATGGACATGGTAAAAATGACATGCTGGATGGAATGGTTGGAAGCAGCAGGAAGCAGCAGCATATGGGAAATATGCAGTTTCATATCACAACCATTCTCAGATAGAGGGCAAGTCAGAGTCTCTGACCTTGTAGTAAAGTGAACTGAGCACCCAGCATGCAGGATCAAGGGCAACTCAGAGAAAGGTGATGTATTCAGAACAGCCTTTTTTCCACCCAAACCAATTATATCAGCTGTACCACAGAACATTATCCTATCTGATGGCTGGGGACAGGGATTACATGCTACCCTTTACCAAGATCTAGTAGCATGGTGCAAGTATACAGGTATAATTCCAGACCAGCACTTTGGCAGGCATCCTGGAAGATGTATGACAGATTCTGTCCATCTTATGGTATCATCCATCAAGAATGCATGGCATAGAGGTAATGTAGTATCCATTCTATTTCTTGATATCAAAGGTGCATTCTCCAGCATCGACATGGACATGCTCATCCACAAAATACTGATGATGGGTATACCAGCCTAGTATATAGACTGGTTATGCCAGAGGCTTGGAGGGTGTAAAACCATCCTCACATTTGATGACTTCAAGTCTATCATATTTGCAGTCACTAATGGGCTCAACCAAGGAGACCCACTCTCACAGATACTATATGTCATATACAACTCTGGCACACTATGACAGCTCCAAAATGGCAAAGAGGGATTCCTCTTCATTGATGACAAGGCACTCCTTGTACAGGGCAAAACCTTTATGGACACTCACCAGAAAATCAAGGACATCATGGAGCAACTGGAAGGCATACTTGAATGGGCATCAGATCACAACTTGAATACAGGATAGAAAAGTTTCAACTCATCAACTTTACAACAAAAACATGGGAGACAGCCCTCTGACCAACTCAGCATGGCAACACAAACCAGCCATGGGCACAGCAATTCAGATTGGCCAATATGTCATACATCCAAAACCTATTGCAAAGTTCCTAAGTGTCCACATTGATGCTGGGCTATGATGGAAAGAGCAAGGTACAGCAGCAATAAAGAAGGGTGATGACTGGATATTCCAATTTCGATGTCTTGCCCATATGGGATCAGAAGTCTCAAGAGAGTGCATGTGACTCACATATATCTCTATTGCCATCCCAAGAACCCTATATGCTGAAGTCTTTTTGAATCCACAGAGACGAACAAGAAAGAAGCAAAAGGATGAGAAGAGCAGTATGTGCACAGTGAACTGCCTAGCCTTGATACAGAGAAAGGTGGCAATCCTCATCACAGGGGCAATGCACATGACAGCAGCAGACATACTAGACATCCACACCAATCTACTCTCCATGATGGGCCAGGTGGATGTATACTGACATAGAGCCCTTACACACATGGTGTGTCTACCACAAGGACACCAGTACAAAGAGTGACAAACCATTATATCAAGTGACATAGGTCACCACTGCATGAGCTTGCAAGAGACTTCATGCAGCCAGATACCCTGGAGACCATCAAGGCAGTCCACTTTTCACCTTATTGGAAGACAAAGATGTTGAGGTTAAAGATTGGATCAGCAAAGGAGCATGAGGTATACAATGGAGAAAGGATTGGCACTAACACTATGCTTAGAGTCATTGTGCAACATGTCCAACATCAAGAGTGCTTCCATCAGTATTGACAACACTGCAGCCATACAGGCAACAACACTATTGCAACCAGCTCCATCCCACCACATCATCAACCTCTTTCACAAACACATTGACATGGTCTTGTGGAGACACTCTGACATCTCCCTAAAAATTTGTTGGATCTCCAGACACCAAGGCATTTCTTAGAATCATGCCAATAGGAGAGCAGCAGAGATCGCACGTAGTGGAAAGCCATGGAATGCATCAGGTGTAGATGAAGCTATTAGCAATATCACCTCTGAGCCAAAGCCCTAAGATGAATATGGACAGAAGTCTGCAGAATGACAGAGACAAGATAAGAGGTAAGTCCAATGGATTGGAGTTCTGTGGACTGGAGAGTGAGAGTTTAGACTTAGAGTCAGAGAGAGAGATTGGGCTGAACCAAGTTGATATTTGAACTGAGTATTCACAATGTAATTCTATGGTTTATATACTGGCTAGAAGTCTGATCTAGTTCCTACTCAGTGTGATCTACATTTTAAAGTAGTTGGACATTGTAGTCTACTGGTCAGTAGCTGATGGAGTCTGATGATATGCTGTGCTACTGATGTCAGGCTCTTGATAAATTAAAATGAAGAGATGAAATATAAAATGGAAACTGGAATATAAAATGAAAACTGTGAACTGGAATCCATAGGATTCCAGAATGTGGTGTTGGAGTTAGAGTTGGAGTTGGAGTTCCATCAGCATGCACATTACAGCATTGCAGGGAACAAAGCAGCGGATGAAGAAGCAAAGGCAGCAACTCATGATGATACTAATACAGTGCAGAGCCTCCCAGCACCACTATGAAAACCCATCCTCCAAAACAAAACATCAACACTCTAAGGAAATTATGCAAAGCAGAAGACTAAAGCTGACCAAGCCTGGAGGAAGTCACTCTGCTACTCTAGGTTCTGAAATATTGATTCAGCACCTGCCCAGCAAGCCACATGCCAGTATTGGAAGCTAGCCACTACTCACAAGGAGCAAAGCCTTGCTCAGTAGTTGTGATACAAAAGCATAGATACAATATGGATGAAGTAGAATACAAGGCAGGATAATCTGACTATACACTAGCATGTAGGATCTACATACAAGCAATGTACAAATGGAAACAAAAAAAAAAATGGCAACAAGTGAGCCCTTGAACAATGGGACTCAGGACAATGGAATGCAGGCTCGTGGACTTCAGCTAAAACCCACTGCCCAAGTTCATGCTGGTGATATCTGTCATCTCATGTAAGGATTTCCCTGGATTTTCAGGTATAGCATGTCATAGTTAGTGAGCATGCTGAAGAGGCTGGCTGTGGGCACCTGTGGAATAGTGAGTGGGCTAAAAGACAAACCTCGAAAATCTACACACACTCACACAACTACACAAACTACAATCACCCTCATAAGTTCTAGGAGGAGTGATTATTTCTAATGTGATCTGACTATACCTCAATATCTCGAAGAGTTTCTCTTATTCTCAATGCTCTTAGCAAAGCTAAGCTTTCTCAAATGAATTCCTAAGTCTAGGAACTTTTACAGAAAGGTTGTTTGCTGGCATGATGCAACCTTCAAGGCAGATTCAAGTTAAAATACATAAGGGACACTGATCCTGACAGAAACAGAGATGATACATGTCAAAACAATAAATAGAACAGAACAGAACAGAACTCAGATTTCCACTTCAATATATTCTCTGAACAGACTTATCACACTTAACAGAACAGAAACAGCATCACTGATTCATATTCACTCTGACTAAGTTCTCAAAAGTCTTATCAAAAGGGTATCTCATATTTCTCTGAGTGAGCTCACTAAATTCTATGCAAAGCTTGAAGTCATAAACTGATCCTTTGTCACAACACTGCCTTCAACATGTGCACTGGAACTCAGGGGCTCAAAACTTGGCTTCTACCTACTGGAACTGTCCTACTTATACTATAGAGAATTTAGAATTACAAACATTGTGCAGTACCCAGACTCCTACATGCATAGCACATTGCCACTGCTGCCTTACTGAGTATCCGAGTTGGACTTCCCAGTTCTAGTCTCATTTCTATAGTAAGCTCACTAAATGCATGGGCTCACAGACTTCAGCCAAAACCCACTGTCCAAGTTCATGCCAGTGATATCTGTCATCTCGCATAAGGATTTCCCTGGATTTTCAGGTACAGTGCATCATAGTTAGTGAGCATCCTAAATATTCTCAATGTTCATGCAACCTTCAAAGTGTCATTTAACTCCCACAAGCATACTTGTAAGTTAGAGCATAGTGCACTGGGTATAGCGTTTGGCCTTCTCATCATGCATGCCCATCAGGTACAGTGCTGTGACTAAGTCCTGTTTAGAATCCCATCACTTCTTATGCCATAAGTTATATTCTGCATCATTGCACTGTGTAGTATTAGTATTGATGTGTTATTTTAGTCTGCTCACTCACTATATCTCAGTGTGCATGTAAAACACACTAGGTTGCAAAATTACACATATAAGTAGGCTGCAGTCACAACATTGAACATGGATTTTGAAAAGGAGTCAATTATGCTATCTCTGAAGTTTTTCTCATGACTTTTTGAGGGTACACCAAATTTTTAACATGATTTTTGGTCAAAACTCATGTTCTGCAAAATTATCTCATGCAAATATCTTTATTAAGTCTATATCTTCACTTTTGTGCAAAAAAACTAGCTATTTACCTGACCAGGGTCCTTCTAAAAATAAGTCAGAATTTTTGTCATCTTTGATGGTCTAAAACTGTAGGGCTGGAAAATCTGCCCTCCATAATTCCCTCCCCATTTCTTTATTCCAATGTCCAGCAGTCATAGGGCAGGTGCTTATTATGATCTTATCCCTATTTTCCTTATCTTATCCTTATCTCACAGAACCCTGGACCTACCTATCTTATCTCCTGGACCTACAATATTCTATCAGCACACCTCCTACCTGTTTACCCAGTTGCTGTCACCCTGCCAATGACTCATCAACAGCTGCCGCATCCTGGATGACCGATGTACCGCATGTGCTATCATGCTTCTCTTGATGGCATCATGCTTCTTAGTGGTTCAGCAATACAGACCACCAGTCAAGGGCAGTCTATGAGATGAGGACTGCTCAGATTGCATCAATGCAGGTGATATGTGCTCTTTACTCTCATTTATCAGAGACACACTTCTTTCAGTGTCCTCACTCCTCATTTGCTACAGAGCGCACTTCTCGATGCACATGCCCCTGCTGATACTATTATTAGTACCAAGCTAAGACTGCATGTATACGTGGCTAATATTTGAAATCAAGAGGGATATCAAATCAGAGCGAATGAAAAGATCTGAGAGAGAATCAAGATACAAAGTATCTTGGGGGTTTGGGGATGAGTGTCCTGCTGGTGAAGGAGATGGCTTCCGAGAGAGAGGGAAGTCAGAAAGGGTGATCAAGTATCACTGACTGAAGAAGCGGGAGATCCAGGTGTTCGGAAAGTTCTCGACTGGCCAACAGTGAGCATGATGCAACAGACAAATAAACTCATACAGAGCAAAGCTCACAATGTGCAGGTCGACACAAGCAGTCAAGTACTGAACACCCCAAACCTGAGCTGAAGCTCCAGGAGATGTACATCAAATGTATGAATTGCAAGTAAGTATCGAAGTAAGTATCTATCAAGGTATGTAATGGTTACAGTATGATCTTATCTGGGAGTTTATGAGCAATACAAAATGATTCAAAGGCAGCTTGTAGATTGACTAAGTGAGAAGGACTGTAAGACTTGGATATCATAGAGGGAATGAGGTCTTCAAGCTTCCTCCAATAGATGAGAAAGGCTAGCGACTTCCATCTGCCAAGCTTGACCACCATCTCAGGGGGAACACCTGCAAGCAGTAGTTCAGTTGCACCTTCTGGTCTGAAGCTGTGACTATGTCCATGATCACAGTTTAGCAGTATCCAGATCTCCCGACACCTGTCTAGAAACCATTGCTTGACCATGGGTGCCCAGGAGCCATTAGCTGTGCAGAATGCAAATAATGGCGCATTATCTGGAGTGGCCTTGTTAGCTGTGAGGTGTGCACAGAGAGCCTTGACCAGGCAAAGAGTCTCACGAGCTGTGAAGATGAGATCTGTCCCCTCCTGTCTCTCCATTTTTCCCCAGGGAATATGAAACTGTGCTGAAGATGCCCCACCCAAGTGGTCCTTGAATGAGATAGGTGTTGACTTGGAGACATGCAAGTGGGGATCGAAAGAGTTGCAAGATGAGATGGTAAGTTTGCTGAGATGGCAACATCCCCAAAAAGCGCAGAGTGCAACTGCAAATACTGCAATGTCGAATGAATCCTTGAAGTTGAGATGTGACTGCAGAGCAAGCAGATGTTCAATGGTGACTAGATGGCATTTAGGATGGGGGGAGCCAGTTGCTGTCTTGAATGCAGAAGATTTTATGAGTGAGACAAAGTCATTGCCGCCATTCCAGGGGGTGCCATGCAAGGTATGCCATCCATGAATGCTGGTGAGCCAAGCTCCAATGGTTTTTGCAATGATATTTTTAGTAGATGCCCATGCAACAAAGGCTGATAGCAAGAAGACTGAGGCCGGCATGCATGCTGACTTGGGTATATCTTGTTCATTACAAAATTGATGAAATCAAAGTGCTGATGGGTAGGTGTGGTGGAGCTTCCGAGGACATCAACAGGGTGATTGGGAGTGACAATAAACGAGATAGATCCCTACCATCAGACATGACAGGACGTACTGCCATTGGTTTTGAGAAAGCAAATCTGAGATATGAGATCAAGGGGGATCATGAGCCTTTGGTAGTCCTACCTAAACATGGACAATGAATGGGATCAACTCCTTCAGGAGTGCAAAATCAGATTGGAGTCTAGATGATTGCAGCCCCAAATCTCCACATGAGATTGGGTCTGCAGGGTTCATGGCTGACGCCACATATGTGAGAGATAAGTGGATGTTTTTAGCAGTGAGAATGGTGGAACAATGTTGTATAGCAAGGTTCATAGAGATGCTACGGCTGCGACCCTTGTCAAAGGAGCCAATCACACCCTGATTATCAGAATGAACTGTGATTGAGGTGTCATGGACACATCTCTCCTCGATAGTATATATCACCAGTTCTACTGCAAGAGTTTCAAGCCAGCCCATATTTCGTCCTTGGTCCTTCCAGCTGGGGATTAGATGCCAAGCATCCCAGAGACCATCAACCACAATCCCAATTCCCCAGTCAGTAGAGGCATTTATGAAGATCTTCAGTGAGAGAGTTGGCTCATGAGGGGTGAGAGATCGAGCTATGCTTGGAGATGACAAGGTGTCCTCCCACCACCAGAGATCACGAATGAGAGGTTTTGATGTATAGCGGCAGGCTAACGAACTGCCATTGACAAAATCCAACCACTTCTCTTTATGCCATGGGATCTTGATTGGATCGATAATAGCTTTTGCTGAGTACATGTCGCAGCTGTAGTGGAATGACCCATCCTTGTTGTGAGAAGATGGCATACAGAAGATGTTTAGATCATCTACTCATTTGACAGATGGGGAGACTCTCTTCGCAGTCCATATGTCCATCACTGCATTTGCGATCAATCCAGCATTGCTCTCTGAGGAGGAGCAGCTGAAGGGGCAGGCATGCTCGATGAAGAAGCCCTTTGTCCCTTGGATGACAAAGTACACCTTATGCTCTGGGAGGATCAGACAAGTTCTATGGAATTTGGCAATGTCAAGCGTCATTGCTTGTATTCCTGGGGGAGCAGAAGATATCTGAGAGCAGAAGATCATATCAGCAAAAATTCGCAATCATCAGAATAGCATAAATGGAGTATTTTATCCCTGTGATCAACGACTGACAAATGCTATGACCGAATGTATACTTGCATCATGCTGCCTGCACTTGTTAGTTGCAAGGAAATCAAGATCATGATCAGACTCCAATCAGAATATGAGCATGCGATCTGCATAGATATTCTGCCAGTATGATCTGTACAATAGGGAGTGGGGTAGGAAGCCCAGATCAGGCAGGCTCCCTCTTGGGATCATAATCACAGATGAGCTGTCTGGGGAGATTGAGGGATCAGTACTCACAGTCTTAGTGACCTCTGCCATGGAGCCAAATCTAGTCGGGAATTTCGATGAATCGATATAATCATTTGTTGATGGGTGGAGCTTGTTGCTCTTGGAGAGATTGTGAACAACTCGTAGCTTGGGAGGGAGATCTGGTCCTTGGTCCTGGGAGTTTACAGAGCAGGGAGAGCATTGGAAGGGACCAAGGATGGCCTCAACCTCCTCTTGAGAATAAGGCCCACTCATCCTCATGGCTGTCACCTCCTTGTCAAGATAATCATCGATAAATGCAGTGTGGGCTGGGTCAGAGACATAGTTGGGGAAGATAACAGTGTGCTGAAGCAGGGGAAATTCACCCATTGGAAAACTGAAGCATAGTTTGTGGACAAGATCTGGATGTTCATCATGCAGGTTAAGTTGATCAAGAAAAGATTCAATAGCATCAGCACTGTAGGGAGTGGCAATGCACTCTCTGATGTCTGAGAGATCTCTACTGGGTGTCCTTTCAGCAATGCCAGGTGAAGGCATGGTGATCTCCTGTGAGGCACCATGAGCACTTGTAGGAGGTGGGAGTGTAGGGAGGGGAGTGTCAACATCTGCCCAGGTGATCAGCTGTGATGTTGTAGGGGATACAGAAACGCTCTCCTGTGGCCTTGACGATGACAACCGGATCCGATTTATCGTCGCATGGTTTGCATTTGGTTGGCTCACTGGAATCAAAGGTGGGAAAGTTACAGTCAGAAATCTTGTGTCCTCTCCTAGCACAGATGAGGCAGACGTCAGCAAGGGACTTAGCTGAGTTGCCTCCTTGAAGAAACTGGCCCCCTTTCTTGAGCAAAGTGGAACCCAAGGAGGGTGCCTCCACAGGAGCAGAAGAAGAAGAAGCCTTGGCAACAGATGCCATTGATGGACCTGGGCCTAGGAGCTTTGAGGTCCAACTTACCTCTCGTTCCTTGTCTCTGGCCTCTCTCTCCCTTTCCCTCTCATCATGAATGTCCCCTTTGATCTTTTCGAGGGTCACCGTGTAATAAATACTCCTCCATAAAGGTGAAGCCTGATCCTGTCACCAAGAACTGAGCCTGGTAGTCCTTCCAAAGGTGAATACACATTCTTAGTACTGCCTGGAATACTAGGGATAGGTTGATAATGTCATAGAAGAACTTGAAGTGGAGTTCCCAGTGCTCTGCCCAGTTGTTGCCACCTAGTTTGCACATGAACTTGATGTAACATGGGAATGCATCCCTCCATTGGACCTCCGTCATCTCAGCCTCCTTGCCAAAGACAGAGTTATCGACATCAAGGATTCTGACTGAGGTTCCATTGGGGAGATAGACCTTTTTATTAGGTAGAGAGAAACCAAGCAATGCAATGAGTGTGAGGTTAGTCAAGGTGAACAGATGAAGAGGGAGATATGCGTGCCCTCATTGACTGCCTTCACCAGAACCAGGTGGAATTTGTTGAGATAGCGTGAGTCACCGGGTTGATGTGTCAGCTCTCCCTGTCATGAGTATTTCTTTTTCCTTCATTCTTCTACCTCCTGATGCATCTCTGTATCATTAGGACGCTTATGGGAAAGGAACAGATCTTTGATCAAGTTGGGGCTGAGCTTTGCCAACAGAGCACCCATCTGTGAGGGCGATTTCGATGGGGGAGGCAGAGGTACATGGCCATTCTCTGTGGTGATGAGGGATTCTAATGAGGATATAGGAGAATTACTCGGTGAGGGATTTGCTTTGTGGGCCTCAAACCCCAAAGCTTTCTCCTCATTGTTCGCTGTGATCTTCTTGTTCTTCACCCTTTTCATGGCAATTGACATTTTTTGGATTGCACCCAGTTTACTGCTGTCATGCATCTTTTTAGGATGGAGAGCAGGTGCTGTGAGCTGGCCTTGCAGGCATTGAGAGTTGCCAGACATTGGTAAAGATGTTTCGCAAAATTATGAGGACTGCGAGATGAGGATGAGGACAAGAATGAAGTGTATCTATTCAATGCTGCAAGGCATGGTGAGTGACAATGTACAAGTAAATCCAAACAGAGTGCACCACTACACTTGGCTTATAGCTTGGCCCAGCACAAGCTCAAGCAGCTTGTTCCTTGTGTCGAGCTCATGATCCATGAGTCTAACATGTATTTAAGCTAGCCTATGCTGTGGCCTTAGACCCCAGCTTCAGCTAAGGTTATACACTTTGAACTCTTACTGAACTCCCTTGTTTGCAACTAACTTGTCCATCACCATCCACAAGAACTCACAATGCTGTCCACCCTGTGAATCACTGTAGGAGCAGTTGCTGTTCATTACACCCAACCTCACTGATGCCAAGGAGTACCGACCCCCAGAAGAGGGAGAGTACATGGACTCAATGGCTCATCCACAGGAACATCATGGACAGAAAGCACTGCCAGGCTCAGGTCAGTCACACCAAGGCCAAGGAGGGAGTGAGATGCACTTTGAGATCCTTTACCCAACCAAGAAGACCACACCCTCATGCTTGAGCCTCAGATCGAGGATCAGCAAAACAGTGAAGGCAAAAATTCCCTTCAGAAAGAAGAGCTTGGATGACTCAGCATCCCTCCAGACAATGGAGACATCTCAGGAGATCCCTGGTTCACAATCGAGTACTGGACTGACATGGAGGGATTCTGGGATGCCACGATGTGGGATGACAATGACAGCTCCAGAAGGCCATCAGTCACTTCCATGGAGTTATCAGCCACTATACCAGGAGTCAACTCAGATGCAGAGCACCTCTATCAGAGAGGAACCTGAAAGTACTACATCAATGCATTCAACAGAGTCATTGATGAACAAACCAGAAGGAACAGTACCTATGAGTGGAGGGTGACAGATAGAGTACAGGGGGGAAGAACCACCTTTGAAATGGTTGAAGACCTGTTCCTCCCTGCCTGGGAATGAGGAGTCAGAGGAGATGTATGAGCAGTGGATACAGAGGGACATGCAGAGGGACATCAAAGAGATGAATCTCCAGAGCCAGGCTGGTGCACAACCCTAACCTCCCCTATGTTGTACATCCCCTGCTGTTGACTATGGATCTTGGCCAATGCCAGGTACGATGGGGCAAGACCTGCTCCAGAGCTTGAGCCCTTCCTCACACCCAAGAGAGGGTTCCTACCCAATGGATATGATGGAGGCTTCTTCCCACCCTGAGGGCTATGACCCTGGGTCTGGGAGAGGGAAGACACTGTGGAAATCTGGGATGAGTACTGCCAATACTTCACAGACATATAGGACTGGAACGAGACCTGGTATGCAGGATATACAATTTTCTCCTGATATCAGGTTATCGGCTACCCACCTAACCATGACAATTGGTCTGACCCCTAGACCAGAGCTGGAATGGCAATCGACCAGCAAGCCCAGGAGGGAGAGTACAATGAGACATCTGATGACAAACCCCCTGATGAGCAGGATGAGGGATGAGTTCATTCAGGGTTGAAGTATGGGGGGGGGGGGGGGGCTCACTGACCAGCAAATTTATGATCTAACATGACAGTAAATGTTAGATTGGATGTGGAGGTGCCTACCATATGATGTGACCTGGACTATGTCT